AGAAAAAAAGACCAAAAGATTAAAATATGAAGCTATATGTTACACTCATATTTAAAAACTGATAGAAAGCCTTGATTTGTATCAATATGAGGTCAAACTGTAGACCATGTTTGCTACTTAGGAAGTGGTGAAAGGCCAAGAAACAGGTGAAATGAGAAAACATGCAACAGGATGAAATGAAATGTCACATTGGAAAGGTAGAGAGAGGACACAAGTGAAGGGCACTAAAGGAATGACTAGGTAAGGCCAGCTGCAGTAGCCCAGAGGCAATGAGATGGTCCTTGATGCTGGAGCAATGCGGGAAGGTCCCGGGTGTCTGTCTGAGGTCTCCATGTGTGCTTTGGAAACTTGTGCATCCCCCATAATCCTGGCTGGCTGGGACAGCGGTGGACTGCCACATACTGTTGTGGATGTCTCCTAACCTGCTACCTTCTTTCTCATGGGGGCGTGGGGGTTGAAGTGGTGGATCCCACTTGGCTGACTTCACAGTTCAAGTCTTGGACCCAGTGGCTAGAAAATTAGGCCAGGCACACATGTGAGTGAAGAATCCTGAGAGAAGAATGGAGAAAGGATTGTGGCATGGTTATCCCTTTGATGGTAATTTCTCACTTTCCATCTGTCTTTGGCAAGCACATGTGCCTATAACAAAACTTGAAACAAAACAAAACAAAAAAGAAAACACACACACAAAAACAGAACTAGTGAATTTAGCTTTAGTTCATGTAAGGGAAGCTGCTGGAAGACTTTGATTACATAAGCATGCTACCCTTAAGAAAATAAATTTGGCAATAAGGTACACGAGATAGACTGAAACAAAATGAAAACAGAAATACAAAGACTATGGAAACTGTCCAAGCAAAATGCAATAAAGGCAGTAATGACTTGGTCCAGGTAAAGGATTATGATGTATGAATAAGATGTAAGGTTAATGTCCAAGCAGACAAGGTAAATAGAATCATAAGGAACTGGCACCAAATAAACACTAAGATATTTTTCTGCTTTATGTAAGAAGCATTTATTTATTTTTTTCTTTTTTTGGAGAGGTTTGTGCTATAGGGCGACAGAGAGACCTAGAGACAGAAAGCGAGAAATCACCCCCCAGGGGGGATGGCCATGCGGCAATCCCTTCTCCTCCATTCTCCTCTTGGGATCTCGGGCACACATGCACAAGCACTGGCGTGAGTTTAAGACTCGAACCGTGGTCGACTACGTGGGAGTCCAGCCACATAGCCATTATGCTAAGTGCTGGTCCCAAGAAGCATTTAATTTTTTTTTTTAAAGAAGTTACATATTTTCTATTCAAAATGTGCAAATAGGGGGCCAGATGATGGCAGAGCAGTAAAATGTGACCTCTTTGAGCCAACCCCACATGGGAAGATTCCCAGTCAAGTCTAGAGACCTTCCTGAGTACCCTGGGCAAGCACAGGTTCAAGATCAGGGTCTGGCTAAAGGCTAGGGATAGACTGCTTCATGAAAACTCTACAGAGGAACAGTCTCTCAGTCTGTCTCTCTTATAGAAAAATAAACAGATTGCTTAAAAACAAGCAAAAAGGGGAATGTTAATGCCTAGTGTTGGCAGGGATACAGTAACATAGGAGCTCTTAAGTATTGCTGCTTGGAAATTATACTAGTGCAGCCATTTTTGAATGATATGGTACTTTTTAGGTATGTACATACTACTAGAACCTGTAAAGCCTGTTTTGGGGTATATAGCTAGAAGATGTTCTAACAAAGGTTGATAAGCACCACATCTACAGATGTTTAATTTCATTATCTATCTGTGGAGGAAGAAAATTTAAGTCTACATGTTATGTCCAATGCTAAATATGCAAAAATGTAGTGAATGCACACCTCTGAGTACTAGGCAGAAGCAACAGACTGAATTACCTCATGATAACCTTGTATGGAGCTTACAAGCAAAATGGTAAGTGACATGAAGAATCAAAGTGGGGGATAACATAATACTGTTTTCATACATTGAAAATACATCCATGGAAGACAACAAATTATCTTTTAAGAACATATGACAACAATTAGACAATAAAAAAAAGAGAGTGATTGTCTATATGAAGGAAAGGAAATAGAAGTATGAGGACTGCTGCGCGCTGGGCCTGCGCGGCCGGGGCTCTGCTCCGCGTTCCGCTGCCTCTCCGGGGCTGGCGTGTGGCCTCCGGGCCTACGCGTGGCTGCCGGGCCTGC